TGTGTTGTGTATATATTATGTGTGTTGACTTCGCTTGCATTTTATAAAAGTTTCAAGCTTTACTGTCCCATGTATGTTATCACAACTCGTTGGACCTTGTCTATTTTGTATATTTGCTTTCGCAGCCTCTATCTATATGTTAATCTGTCATGAGGCCTTTGGTAATCCAAGGATTACTGGCCGGTTGCAATACTAAACCTATAGAGGCGGGTTTGGGTCGTGACAATCCTGGGAAGTAGACGCCGATTAAAACTCGAAGCACCGAAGTGAGGGCGAAACCTACTTTAAGGAGATTATGTCCAACACAAGTGTTAATTTTATTTTATGTAAGCTTTTAATTTAGGAAATAATTTATGTAATTATTTTTCTGAATTATTTATTTTATTGTTTATTTAATTTATACATTTAATTTACACGCACACCACTGTGGGTATAACAAATCTATGGTCAAAAACCAAGCTGCGGAAAATGGTGAGCTTTCGGATAGTGAAAAAGACCATGACATGCTCCCGAAGGTGATGGAATTCTCCTAGCAGAATGGAGACGGTAGAGAAGATAAGCTGAGAGTCAACATTCCTGTCAAACAATGCGAGCAGCTCGTAAAAGAACTTTTTCCAATGGATAATAATGTTTCGTGTGATGAGGAAGTTCGAAGTGGTGCTGCAAAATGTGATAATTTGAATGGAAACCTAAAAAATACTGAAAGCAAAGAAAAAGAAAAAGAACATTCGGTGGACGTTGAATTTAAGATGTGAAAGAGCTGTAAGATTGGAGAGAGAGATCCAGAGCAGGAATCCTTTGAAGAGGGAGTGGATGCAAAGGTGGAAACAAGTGTAAGCTATGACCAGATAAATGGTTTACCCTCATCAGCAAAAAATCTTGATAATGGCACAAGCTCACCGTCAAAGCAATAGCAACATTAAAAGAAGAAGAAGCCTTTGCAGTGCAAGTTTGGTAGCCTACTCAAGAAGAAGAGTACTAGCAATCACAAATAATGGACTGTTTGTGGCTGGCAGGTACAGTTGGATTCTATCTAGCGCCTGATTGTGTTTGCTTTAATGTTTTTGGCTTCTAATTGTCAGACTATATAAGGAAAAGAAAGATATAAAAGGGCATGTATCATCTGTAGATTTTTTTAAAAGAATTTCTTTTATTGTAATTCCCCAGTTTGGGAGAGTATCTTGTATTTGATGGAGATGTTTTTTTTTTTTCTTTTCTTTTCTTTTTTTTTTCTTTTTTTTGGCATTCTTCATCTTTAGACTCTTTTAACTCTTCTTCCGAACTACACTTTTCTTTGTCTTCTCTAAATTGTCAATTCTTTTTCATAAATGTCACAGTTTATGAATCTTATTTTAATTTTGCATCTTCTTTTTCTTCAGTATACTTTAGGGTTCCGATGGTTTCTGTCAAGAGCTAGTCAGTGTTTGTTTTCAGAAAGAGGGTGCGGTCGAACATGATTCTAGCCATTGGAGGAGGTTGCCAAGGCTTTTTGTGGTACCTGTTTATTGCATGTGTTGTAGCCGATGGAAGTCGATGGCAACAGTGGTCTGAGGTGCAAGTAGCCAGATGTGCGGATTGGTGATGACCATGAGCAATGGATGGTGGCCGGAGGGAGTGGGAGAGGAAGGAATGAAAATTTTCTTTTTCTAAACAAGAGAAACCAACATCATTGATTAATTACAGGAATTTAATTCGTCAAAGAGACGATGAAAACTCACACCTAACTGGCTTGTTTTTTATACTTTCAAAAAGGAAAATTGCCTTTTTTTTATCTTTTCTTTTTGCAAACACAACTGTAGAAGTGAATAACGTTTAGAATTTTTTTTCTACACGTTAGGTGTCAATTTTTTATTTCAAACAATTATAAATGACTTACAAAATTTATTGAATTCCTGTAATTAAACATGAAAGTTGATTTTGTTTGTTAAGAAAATGAAATTTTATTCCTTCTCTCCCATCATCAAAGAAGATGCTTTTGGCTGGGAGGTCGGGATTTGTTTGTGGATTAGTGACTCTCTCTATCGCTATGAGGTGGTGTGAATGAATGAGAAGTCGTAGAAAGCTTCTATGAGGTTGGAGTTTACGTTCTAATCGATAAGATTAATTGGGTTTGGATTTTGCTAAATTGGCAGGGTGGCGTTGGAGTTGTTCTTTCGAGTGGAAGCATATAGGTTGAAGGAGAATGGTTTTTTCACCTTCATAAACAGAGATCTGACAATCAAATCAAAAAAAAAAAAAAAAAAGATATAATAGTAATAATCTTTTGCTTATAGTCCTTTACCTTGATCTTCTCTCCCCCTCTCCTGACATACAAATGCATGTGCATATTCTCAAAACATTCACGGAGAATAAGATATGGTGTGGTCATGGTGGCTTTAGTTACTTTTTAGGTACATAAATGAACAGAAATTTCACGTTCGAGCATCCCTCTCTTCTCTTGCTTCAAGGGCATCTACTTCCTCATTCGACAGAATATCAACAATGGGCTCATAGACATCCCATTCCCTTCTCTTCCTGAAGAAGCACCAAGAGATTTACAGTCAGTCTCCTCTATGGAACTAATTCTAATTGTATCATTACTGTACAATTGATATCCACAATGGATATTCAAATTTTAATTTTAATGCGATAAAAAGAAAAAGATTAATGCCATGTGTTAGACGCTTCCTACTACTTATACCTCCTATTGAAAATTGTTGTTGACTACAAAGCTCAATATTAGGCATGTTGACTAAGAACTTTACTATGACAAGCTCAACAAACTATACATATATATATATTTTTGGTAAGTCATAAAATGCAGGAAATTAACAGGCCTTACCGAATGGCACTGGATTTGTTACCAAATAACTTCATCAAGTCTACTGCAGTTCCACCTGCCTTACTGTGTGTGTGTGTGTGTGAGAGAGAGAGAGAGAGATGATGGAAGATAAACAATTTGGTTAGGGAGAAGCAACAAAGACAAAGCAGACATATATTCAAACCTATATTCACGTTGTTAATCAGATAGTACTCAATCTTCCCAACCAAAACAAAATAGGATCAACAACATTAAGTAAAAGCAATAACACAAACCTGGCTGGGAATTGTTCAGCCCCTCTGCGACCCTTCTTGTTTATTCTAGTTTCCCTTGTTGAAGCTACACTTTGGATTGCAATCTAGCACATGTACTAAAATAGTGAGAAGAAGTAAAATAGCTAGGTTTGATAATGTCCACCAAAAATGTACGACAAAAGGAGCGTTACATTCTAACCTCATATAGCTGGGAATTGTTCAGCCCCTCTGCGACCCTTCTTGTTTATTCTAGTTTCCCTTGTTGAAGCTACACTTTGGATTGCAATCTAGCACATGTACTAAAATAGTAAGTAAAATAGCTAGGTTTGATAATGTCCACCAAAAATGTACGACAAAAGGAGCGTTACATTCTAACCTCATATAGTTGTTCCCTAATTGCAACAGCAATTGCAGGCTGCAAGGCAGTAGTCACCTTTTAGGTTGAAATATATTTCAGAAATTACAAATGAAAAATAAACACGAGAAACTTTAAGTGGGAAAGAAGGGTTGAGGTTAAACTGAGAATTGGATACTAGGTTTACAACAGACTATTTCCAAGAGACACCTCCAGAAAAAGAAACATATACACACTTGGAAGAGGATGTAAGTGTGTGCACAAATACTGAGGAGGTGACGATGATGATGGGGTCATAATGTTTTGCCTCTTTTCTTGCCAGATAGGACCCTTAAATAAATTGATTTTAAATAAAAAAAATTAATTGAATTCATAAATTTTCTCTTTATGGTTTACCGAACAAATTGAAGCAATCAAATTCTTAGAATGAGATCTTCTCAAAAAGCTTAGTTCAGGATGCAACTAAATTAGGATCAAGAAAAGGCTGAGAAAAATCAATTGTCCATGCGAGCGCATAAAATCAGCTCACATAGATTGATGGAGAGATTCAAGAAAGATATGAGCTTCACCATGTGATCTGCAAAATAAAACACCATTAATGCGATCCGACCAGTGGTTTCCAACAAGAGGGCACTCCGATGGCCAAGTTATAAAGGATCTATCAGAGAAAGAAAAAGAACCATGGGTGTTCTGTTGTGTGCAGAGTTTAGGGCATACCTTCGTTTCTAAGCAAGGAAGCACGGATACGGGATTCGTATACGATACAATACGGATATGGCGATACGTCAAAATTTGAAAAAGAAAGATACGGGTACGGCGGGGATAAGTTTGTAAATTTTATTTTATTTTTTAATTTTATTGATGTAATAAGCATGAAAATAAAACCTAAAGGAAAAAAAACATTCATAAAACATCCAATAGTAAACCTCTTAATATTAATCCAAAGACTTCGCTTAAAAAAATCCAGAACCCACAAAAATATATATCTATATAATAAGACAGAACTATTTTTGAAAATGTGTCAAAATGTATCAGAGAAACATTTGATTTTAATGGTCTAGATCAATCCTAAGTATATATCAATGGTTCAGATACATTTAGTTCCCGCCCAAACACTCTGCTCTCTCTCTCTCTCTCTCTCCCACATCTTCTCTTCAGCTCCCTCTCTACACGTTCTCCCTCACATGTACATTCATACACATACATACAGAGAGAGAAACTGTAATAACCCGACCCTCGCATGTGTTTCTGGTATATTTTCAGTCCCTTATTCTGAGCATTTAAATATTTATGGTGAAATTTCATGTGAAATTAAATTTACTTAAGTGAGACTTGTGGTTACGGATTCATATATGTCTACTAAAAGAACAATTTGTCACAATTATAATGTTTGAATTAGAAATTGGAAGCCTTAGAGGCTTAATTATCTGAAATTGACTTTACATTTAAGATCAGCATAATTTTTAAGTAATAATAAGCGTTTCTGTGAAATTTCAATTTGGGATGATTAAACGATTGATTTTTGTCCTATTCACTTTTTATATATATCTATGTTCTTTTTAACATTTGACTTGGTAATTCTTTTTCAAAAATATCTCCTCGGAGAGTAGGAAGAGAAGAGTTAGAGAAGGAAAGGAGAGTTTCACCTAGGGTGGAAATTTGGGAAATTGAGAGGATTGGTAGAGATTTGAACCAAGGTATGTAAACTTCATCTTGAATTAAGCTCTTTCTTGGATTTGAGTAAGCATGCCTTTCATTTGGAAGAGCTAGGGTTGATGCTTGAAGTTTTGTAAGTATTGATTGTCTAATTGGAAAGTTATGCTTGCCATATGGTTGTTTTGGAACCTAATTTGAGTTATATGAAGAAATTACACCTTGTTTCCTTGTTAATTTCATGTAAACACTCATTTAGGAGGTTGGATTATAAAATTAAATAGCTATGTATATATGTGTATAAGTGAACCCAAAATAATTAGAACTTTGGAAAGAATTATGGTTGGTTGTGATTATGAATTCAAAGTAAGTAAGGACCAAAGTAGATCGGTGATTGATTTTTGTGTGATTTAGAGTCTTATTCTTGTGTTAAATTCATCTAATTTGAACCTTTTTATGTGTTTGCAAAGAAGGGTTTTGTGTGAGTTTCGGACTGCCCAAACAGGGGCTCGGCCGCACGTGTGGAGGTCATGGCCGCACGTGCGGGCAAGAGAAAAAAATGAGATTTTGCATTCTGCCTATGGCCGCTCGTGCGGTGAGGAGGACCGCACGTGCGGAGGGGATGGCTGCACGTGCGACCCAGGTCGGGAAATTTGTTCGCTCCGTTTTACGTGCTTAACCCTCAGCTATTTTTGGAATTATGTTTGAAGTCTTTTTGATTGTTGTAAATTCAATTGAAGTGTGATGACTCAAGAAATGGTTTAACAAGGAAAAAGGGAACTAATGTGTGTTATATACGTATGTAGGACACACGACGGGAGGAAACGTCGCTCTGCAACAACACTGTGAGTAATAATAGGAACGAGATACCTTTATTATCGTTAATAATTATTGTTATGAACGTTATGTTCATCGCAAGAAACTATGTTAATATGTGTGCTACTCGGGAAACAATGTGAAATTATGGAAACATTGGAAGTCTTGTGAACTATGAACCTATGGAAACATCGGAAGACTTGTGAATTTATGAGGCCGAGGGCCGATTTGTGAATTTATGAGGCTGAGGGCCGATTTGTGGATTTATGAGGCCGAGGGCCGATTTGTGAATTTGTGAATTTGTGAACCTATTAGGCCGAGGGCCAAGCTGTGAAATACGTTGTACTTATTAATAATTATGTTCATTCTGGAATAATGATTTTAGTGTAACTGTGAAGGCATATCGTTTGCTACTAATGGGCCTGAGGCCGATCAGTTATAAATCATCGAGTATGGATATTTCTGAGGGATCAAAATAATTGGATAAGCTATGTGCATCTGTATGAATCTGAAATAGTTCTGTTGTGTTACATGTGGACCCGAGGTCATTCAGAACCTACGATATGAATGCAAAGGTTTAACGTTATTATATGCTCTCTGCAATAGTATGACTCTTATTCTGCTATACACGAGATAACTGTGTTAATCGGTAACTAAGTCATGAAAAGTTTATGTGCACTATTCCATAATGGAATTCTTAAGAAACTAAGGTTATTCTGTTTTTGTTATCCGTTTCGGTTATGCTATGTTATGACATAATATGCATTGTTCGGTCTTTATGACCTAATGATTTCTGGTATGGAACAAAGTGTTGTACGGAACTAAGTACTACACTTTGGTGGGAGCCACCTCTAGTATCCGTACGAGCCACCTCTTGAGTCCATACATAGTTATTTCTGGGCCGCTAGGCCGTTCTGTTATTTCTGGGCCGATAGGCTGTTCTGTTATTTCTGGGCCGCTAGGCCGTTCTGTTATTTCTGGGCCGATAGGCCGTTCTGTTATTTCTGGGCCGCTAGGCCGTTCTGTTATTTCTGGGTCGCTAGGCCATTCTGTTATTTCTGGGCCGATAGGCTATTCTGTTATTTCTGGGCCGCTAGGCCATTCTGTTATTTCTGGGCCGCTAGGCCGTTCTATTATTTTTGGGCCGATGGCCGTTCTGTTATTTCTGGGCCCATGGTCGTTCTGTATCTATTAGGCCTATGGCCATTCTGTACATTAGTGGGCTTTAGGCCATTCTGTACATTAGTGGGCTTTAAGCCATTCTGTTAAGAAAACTGGACCCATGGCTGTTCTGGAAGTAATTACAGAATGTAGTTAATCATATGACTCTGCAGTTATATGTTTTATTATTCAAGTTAAGCATTACATTATTTATGTATTATTATTCACTGAGTTTCACTCATTCTGTATTTTGTCTGTTTCAGTAGGTAATCAACCGGGAGACCAGTCCTAACCCTTAAGGCTCGTCTCTCTCTTGTCAACCTCGGTGTGTCCAGGCACTTAGCTGAAGCCCGTGCATCTTGTAAAGTGTTGTTAGTTTTTTTGGCTTATGCTTTGGTTGTCTTTCATTAATATTTTTGTTATACGCCCAATTGTGGGGCTGAGTCGAGGTATATGTGTGTAAGTTTTCTGTATATTATTTACCTAATGTGATGTTGTGATCCTGGCATAATAGTGGTAGCTCAATGGAATAGATTTTTGTTATCAAGTGCTTCCGTTCAGGCCCCATATGTTACATATATCGGTTTTATGTCTGTTTCTGATGTAGTCATGCCCAAAACTTTTAGGGGCGGTTTGTACGGAACTAAGTGCTACACTTTGGTGGGAGCCACCTCTAGAATCCGTACGAGCCACCTCTTGAGTCCATACACATGTTATTTCTGGGCCGATAGGCTGTTCTGTTATTTCTGGGCCGCTAGGCCATTCTGTTATTTCTGGGCCGCTAGGCCATTCTGTTATTTCTGGGCCGCTAGGCCATTCTGTTATTTCTGGGCCGCTAGGCCATTCTGTTATTTCTGGGCCGCTAGGCCATTCTGTTATTTCTGGGCCGCTAGGCCATTCTGTTATTTCTGGGCCGCTAGGCCATTCTGTTATTTCTGGGCCGCTAGGCCATTCTGTTATTTCTGGGCCGCTAGGCCATTCTGTTATTTCTGGGCCGCTAGGCCATTCTGTTATTTCTGGGCCGCTAGGCCATTCTGTTATTTCTGGGCCGCTAGGCCATTCTGTTATTTCTGGGCCGCTAGGCCATTCTGTTATTTCTGGGCCGCTAGGCCATTCTGTTATTTCTGGGCCGCTAGGCCATTCTGTTATTTCTGGGCCGCTAGGCCATTCTGTTATTTCTGGGCCGCTAGGCCATTCTGTTATTTCTGGGCCGCTAGGCCATTCTGTTATTTCTGGGCCGCTAGGCCATTCTGTTATTTCTGGGCCGCTAGGCCATTCTGTTATTTCTGGGCCGCTAGGCCATTCTGTTATTTCTGGGCCGCTAGGCCATTCTGTTATTTCTGGGCCGCTAGGCCATTCTGTTATTTCTGGGCCGCTAGGCCATTCTGTTATTTCTGGGCCGCTAGGCCATTCTGTTATTTCTGGGCCGC